TAGTGGACCCACGTTCTCCCTGACCTTCCTTTTGTTATTGATATATTTGAAGAAGTTTTTCTTGTTATTCTTAATTTTTCTTCAGTAAAAATGTGCAACTTCTTCTCTCATAGGACACTCTTCTGTTGGTCTATCTGAAATACTTTTTGAATTAATTATTTTTGCTTAGTCATTAGTGATCAGAACTTTACCTATTGTTTCAAATGATGTTTCATCACTTACGTAATGGCAAAAATAGTATTTKCTTATCAATTTGAAAATTCATCACATGATAGGTACATGATACATGACAGGTGGCAGAAATTTGCCTTTTTCCTACTACTACTAGGAAACTGCTTTTTCCTAGTAGTTCATTAGTAGTGCATAATTACCCTATGATCATTTAATGCATGTATGTCTTCCTCTRTTTCTAACTGATAAAATTTCTCTCCCTTCCATCATATATTTCTAGATTTACAAGAGTTATAGCCACATCCACAGATTAGTAATTCCACAACTTATCAAATGTATTTTGAATCTTCTAAGTAAAAGAAATATTCTTTTGTGTGACTGGAAATCTTTCATTGCATTATCTGTCTCCACCAAATCCTCACTTTTCTGATATATTATACTCCCTTAATACTTATAACTTCTCTCTAGACCACTTTTTAATGACAATTTAATGAAAAGTTCTTAGCGTTTCTACAAAAAAATATATCATTTCAGTATAAGCTGAAGATATTAGACCCATTTTAGTATCTCACAGTTTCAAAAGTTTCCAGATCACTGCTCTGTATTTAAAGCCAATGATAGGGATTGGATTTTCAGAAGGCCTCAACACATAGTTGCTCCATAAGAACAAAAGAAAAAACCTCCTTGATGTCTGAAAAATGTCTGAAAATCTCCCTGTTGTATATATGTATTTATTTCCCCAAAACATTTAGAACACAAACCCCTTTTTCTAATCTATGATCCTATTATGCAGTTATTCCATGCCACCAACTGTTCTTTTGCTTTCCTCAGAAGTGTGAAACATATAATATGTTTATATATATATATAYACACACACACACACTTACATATACTGCTAATCTAGCCTGACTTAATTTCTGCATGATTCCATTTTTCAGTACAGTTTAATAGATACATCCTATAGAATTGAAAAGGTTTTATATTCAGGTTGTCTCCTGCGTTACATGTGTTCCTATTTTAAGCAGTGATCATAAATATACTGTGTGGTAGGCTTTACCTTTTACCTCAAATGATTATGTAATTTCATTTATGGCTTATCTATAATAATGCACTAGGACTGGCTCGGTTTCCTTGAATCATGTATAGAACAGTGTCTGTACTAAAGACATGGAGCATGCTATAGCACAGCAGCACTATGATTAATATGTAGTCAAAACCATTTGCCTGTAGCAGAGCAGCATGTTGGAAGGATAGAGCACTTCTTGGTGCTATTTATTATGTTACACATGACATTGTGCATTTCTCATCCCCATCAAAATTATGTGGAGCATAAGGGAGGCCCATAAGGGTTGCACAAGGGTTTCACTGTCTAACCATACACACGTCACTTAAAACATCCTGCTGTGAAAATTACCATTTTCCCCAAATGAACCTAGTTTTTAATCAAAACCAAATTTTTTACAGCCACATAAATAGAAGAACACAATTTGAAAACCCTGTCCTAGAAGCAAAAAGGAAGCTACAGCAGCATAACATGCCCAACGCAGAACTTGGAACAAAGCCTATGCAGGCCCAAGGTTTCCGAGGTACAGTACCATATCAGCATGTCCGAGTTAAGATGAAGGATCCTGCTTTCCTTGTTTGTGTGACAATGATTTTCACAGGCTGATTAAAATAGYAGTGTTGCCAGTTCTCCCAATACTGTCACATATGTCTGTTCCCATGAAAGCCCAAGCTCCTGGAGTTGTGGGACTCTCATAAGCTGTCTGAAAAACTCAAGTCTTCAGAGTCACAGAGTAGAAAAGATGACCCAGGGTATCCTAAAGGCTGAGGAACAAGAAGCGTAATAAGAACCCCAAAGAAATTTTCTAAATAAAACCATAATTTCTGTTCTTGAGAATGTATGATTCTCTCTTGAGCACCTGAGATTGGCAACACTGAAATGATTAATTGTACTTTCTCTAAATTACTGCTAATTGATGTTTGGTGTGTTTCTAAGCTAGCTCATCTAGCAAGCATCAATTAAGCTGAAAGCCTCAAGCACTGTGTTACAGAAGTCTACAAGAATGCAGCCTCTTGGTAATGTGAAAATTAATGCACTTAGAGTAAAACGTATAAGCAACGCACAGSATTCATAGAGACATAGAGACGAATAAATTTGAACGTGGAGTTGTAGCCCAGGAATGAGGCTTGTTCTCCTTTGTGACAGTCCAAAGCTCCTCATCAACATTACCTAGGCCCAAGCACGCTCAGCCGCGCGCTGCTCCTCAGAGGTCCCGCAGTGTGAATGACCTGTCCCAGTGGCGCCGCGACGCTGCTCGGATGCTCGGGCCCTATGGTACGTGCGTGGGCTGCTCGCCAGGCACGATCTTTGCACCTTTCTCATGGCTTTTCTCACAAAACCAAGCACAGGAAGGGGCCCGGGTCAGGCTGCTCTTCCCGCTGGTGGCTCACGCTGCACGCCCAAGCACTCGGAAAGGGGATGTAAAGGTCACACGACTGTCACAGCGGTTGTAAATGTCTCTCGCTGGATGCCAAGAGCCCTTGTGTTTGGAGAAAAAGACTGCCTGATACTTAGCATTGTTTTTTAACAAGTGCTTTTAGAAGATACAGGGGGTAATTTCCTTATTGTGGGTGGGAGGGAAATTGTGCAGAATGTATTGCCTTGTAGACAAASCTGAATTCATAGGTTAGGAATAATTTGAAAGAGGTTTTAAAATTACCTCAGATATCAGTTTTATTACTGTAATTATTTTAGCTGCACAATACCCGCTTCTAAGTGCCTTTCTAATATGAAATAACATTTATAAGTCACCTCTTATGGCTGATTGGCCATAGATAAAAATCCCTCTTAAGCTTTGTGTTAGTAATAAGAACTCACTAATATTTTTTTTTCTCTGGAATGCTTGCACTCTTTATTTCGTCTGTTTTCATACACTGTCACCTACTGTCAAGTGCTGCTATTATCTGCTGTCCCCTTTGAGCTATGACCAGATCAGAACTGTTACGTTTCTTCTTTGTGTTGACTGATTTAGAAAAACCACTCTTCACCCGTGATGCATCACAGCTGAAGGGGACTTTCCTCAGCACAACTCTTAAGAAAAGCAACATGGGTTTTGGATTTACCATCATTGGTGGGGATGAGCCAGATGAGTTTCTTCAGGTGAAGAGTGTAATTCCTGATGGGCCTGCAGCACAAGATGGGAAAATGGAAACAGGTAATTCATATGGTTCCTCTATTCTTTTATATGAGAACTAGGCTCAGCTAGAGATTTTGGAGGCTCACAGATGTATGAAAAGCATGCTGTWCTTCCATCCTGCTATCTGTAAATGCCTAGCACTGTTGCTCTTGAAGAGAAGATAAGCGTCTCTGATAAAACTTTGTTACACTATTTCTTTCTAGAAATGCYGGGTAGCAGTTTTCCCCTTTTGCTATATTTTGAGGGGGAAAAGATCTCACTCTTCTACGTGGAGGAAAAAAAAAAAGAGCTGTGATGTTCTTTGGCTTGTAGGCTGTTTACCCGAGAGGAGTCTGTGCATGCAGAGAAAGAGAGCACAGAATGCCAGATGCAAGCTCCTTTCTTAAGAAAGGAGAGTTTTGCAAAATAATCAAATTCTGATCCAACATGGTTATCATCAGAACCATCAAAACTAGGATTTTTGTTTTGTGATGTGTAGATATAGGTATCTGTGGACTGCTAGTAGCGAATCTGTGAAAAATAACTAAATAAAAAAAAAGCTTCTTTAAAAGAAATATAAAGTTACCAGAAATAGCTGGTAACAATAAAATAATATAATTAGGAAAGGTCATCTAGTAATGTAGTCCAACTTCCTGCTCCAAGCAGGCCTAGCTTCATGGTTGGATCCTATTACTCAGTGCTGTACCTGTGTCAGTATAGAAGAATTCCAAGGATGGTGATCCACAGCCTTTGTGGGTTTTGATGCTTAACCATTCTCCGCATGAGGATTTTTTTTCCCCTGTATATCCAATTGAAATTCCCACTGTTCCARCTCATTACCATTGACTATGGCTGTGTGCCTGTGCATGTCTTTAGCTGTGCACCTTTCCCAACAGACTTKGTAATTCAGAAGCTGGACAGGCTGCACATTCCACCCCTGGTACAGGAGAATGGACATAATTTCCCCTCCATTTATCCACAAGGCCTCACAGGAAAAATTAGAGCTCTGGATTTATGTTGCTGCCACAGAAACCCAGTTTGTGGTGGCTGGAGTCTCTGTGAAGATCAAAGCAGCTGGATATTTTTAGCATATTCCAATACTGAGAACAACCACATAAATGCATGCTAAAAGAATAATGTTGGTTGATCCCAGGCAATTCTTCTGGAAATTACTTTTCATCCTTCTGTTGTAGCAAAGGAATGATCCAGGCTATCATATGTTGTAATAAAACATCCTGAACTCTTGCTAATTCTGTAAGACTCTCCACGACTTTGAAAGTAGGAAGTGTGAAGGTTGTAAAGGTTGTGAAAAGTATTATTTTTAAAGCACCAGAATTTGTCTTATATTACAGTTGGCAGGATATTTCTGATTTTAAAAAGAAAAAAGGGTAAATAGATATCCGATACAAAAAAAATAAAATGTGAAAAAGTAGAATGCAGATATTTTGTTTTGGCTTTGTATTAAAAAAAGAAGTATACCAACTTTTTAATTGCTTTCAATTCCTGTTGCCATTTAAACTTCTAAATGAAATTTATTACCAAAAGGCAAAGCTAAAGTAGTTGATTAAGAAAGCACAGTAGACTTACTGAGGCTCTGTAGAGATTAATAACATAAACTTCATATTTCCTGTTATTTTCATATTAGCTAATATGCTCCATGAGAGATTTTTCTTGGTTTTTTTTTTTTTTTTGGGGTAGTTTAGTATTCTCTGATCCAGCAGTCAAATATAGCTACTTGTTAACTTGTCTGAAATGTGGATGTTGATGGAGGTTGTTCATTTTTTCCAAAGTGTCCTTGCAACTCACCTAAATTTTGATATTAAAACTGGAATGCTAGTTTCATAATACCCTTAGTGATGATTATTGTAGTCATGGGTTGTGACAGAAACATGGGGGGGAAAAAAAAGGTACTTAGGAATATCTTAAAGTAACATTTTATTTTTTTTAATAAATTAGTTTAAATAAACTACCAATTCAAAACAAAAATGTCTATTCAAGTGTATAATTATTGTATAATGATGTGAGCCTGGTAAGTATGAAATTACATCTCAGAATTAATTCTGCTATTCAGTSTCTTTATTTCTGAGAAGAGTGACAGAGTTCTGATGTAAAGAAATAGGAGAATCTCATAAAGAACAACTGTAGCATCTAACATGGGTTTTCTGAATATTTCTAGTGCTTTCTGCATATGATAATGGTAAAATGTAAAAAGATACCTAGGGTCAGAACATTAATAAAACAGCTGTTCAGCAAAGAACTCCTGTCTTCTGATACCTGATCCCTCTCGTTCTTGCTAGAGTAGGATTTCCTTCTGTGTTCAGCCATTTTACAGTCTAATCAACTGAAGAAATGAAAGCATTCCAGGTTACATCAAGAGCATTTTGCTCATCAAGTTCTTTAAATCATGTTTCAAAACCACTCGGGATTACATATGTGCCTTTTGTTTGTAAGGTAGGCATTGCTGGATGATGAATGGAGCTCTTAGAATAGTTTTTATTTATTCTTTTGACATGAACTGTGTGGTGGTGTGCAATTTATTTGCAATCTAGTTACAGCCACAGGAGGCTTTGATAAATGATAAAAATATCATAATGTGACATTGTGGCAATACAATATGATATTGAGGGCAATGACAATAAGATCAGTGATGTGAGCTTGTGATCTTGAAGGGCATAAGTGATTGCTACAAGTGGGGTACTCCTCTCTGTGATGCATCTCTGAAGCCTTTGCCTTGCGTGGCTGATGTTGACTGGTTCAAATGGAAAACAAAATCCTGACATGCACCGGACATGGGAAAAGAAGCCAGAAAAGGCATCATCTCCTTCAGCTTATGTGATCTCAGCCACAGGCTGAAGATGCCATAGTGTCCTTTAACCTAATGGTTAAAGAAATCAAGTCATTGAAAATCAACATTGTAAAATCGTTAAATATTTTAGCCCTCATCCAAAAGGCAGATACAAATGCTGTTTCAAGAGAAGGGTGAACTTGCTTAAGATGTAATTCTCATCCTTTTTACCTCATCACCACACAGTGATATTTACCATCACATTTCAAAATTAAATGATTTTATACATTACTTGTAACATGGAGACTAATGCAAGACAGAGGTTGACATTGCTGTGGTGTTAAGGAGCAATTAAAGTAGCAGGCAAACTGAGTGCATTGAGATACAACAAGGGATATTTGCAGTGCTGGTGGGCTGACAGCAACACTACTCACAGTCCAGTGCTGGTCTTTAAGAAGGGGTGATCATTGTCCCAGACACACAACAAACATCACAAGCAGATTCAGAGGATCCACATCCTCTGGTGTGGTGAGAACAGAAAACAGCCAGATTTACATTCCTGATCCCATTTGCCAGATGTTTTAGAATTCCTAAAGGGTTATTATGCCCTCATGTAAATCTAGCATATGTGAGCTAGGGGCTGTTAATAATATTGCAAATGTCTTTCTAGGACATATTTTAGTACTTGGAAATCAATCAAGCTGCTGGATATGAACATTGCACTCCCCAGCATCTCTACTTTGGAAATGCCCAGAAGCTGAGCTCAAGAAGGCTTTCTTGAGGGCCTTGAGTTGCTATATCTTGTCTGAAACCTCATCCTCCTGACAGAAAACTGTTTGCATTTAAGAGGCCCCTTTATCCCATTGAAATGTAGAGTGAACATCAGTAGTAAAAAAACAAATCTGCATGAGAAGATTTTTATACAGTGATTGGTTTTGATTGACTTCTGTCAAAGCTCAATGTGCAAAGGTAAAATTCTCCTAAAATTTGAAGGTTGTTCAACAGACTAGACAAGCCAAAGCACTACCACAACCTCTGCTCAGGAAGGACTCTCTATTTGCACACATCAACAAGTTCCAGGATCTTTGCTGCAAGGTCACAATAAATGGCTCCAAGATATGACACACAAACGATTGAATCTTTTGATGTTGATTTTGACTGATGAAAATCTAAGGTCATTGCAGGATGAACTTTTCAGAAATAAATAGATATGTATATGTCTGTAACAATGTCTAATATTCAACTCTGTGACTCAGGAATGGGAAGCAAACTTCCTTATTTCATCAGTCAATTGTTCACTTGGCCAGTTACAAGATACTAAATCATCCTCAAATTGAAGTGACTTGGCATCCTTCTTGATCTACTTAATCCTAAGTGTTGGTATTCAGTCAAGAAAGAGCAAAACTAAACCTTTACATGGTTTAAAGGTTTAAAACCTTTAAATGTAATTAAACTTAGGGAATAATTGTGTAGGCCTCATTCATGCAAATTGTGCCCAGTATAGCCAATRTCCCACAATATCTATAAAAACTACTGCAATCAACACAGAAAGAAGTTGGGACATCTGCAAAGGCTGCTTGCACAGACTCAAAGGGATTCTCACTTCTGTTCYCTGTTTGTCCATTGTCAGCTTGAATTAGCACGTATTACCTCRCTTGATGTTGTGACTACACACCACTGTACCTCTCTTCTTACTCATCAGCCTTTTCGGGACCTTTTCAGGTCCTTTCATATCCTATTAGTGAAGATCTGTCTGGCAGTCTTCTCTTTTGCAATACTACATATCTGTGGTAACAGTCTGTTTACTKCAGATGCCCCTTCAGAAATTTCACCAGCCAGGAGCTCAGTGAAGAACCGGTCACGCACATTTAAGACTTCATTGCCACCAACGCTAGTCATTGCTGGGAATTTAGTAAGTCCAACTGCTGACGCCCTGTCATCAGTTCATTCACTACTGCCAGGAAGATGGGCCTCCCAAAATTAGGGCATTGTATTTAGAGCACAAGCGATTATGCTAAAGGATGGCCTGCTGATGAAAGGGTATCTTATGTGTTATCCTCATGCATCTTTAGGATACACCACTTGCAAGTCTGCAAGTGGAACAACACCAATAAAAGCAGTTTGTGCAATCAAGCTCTTCCACAGCTTTGCTTTGCCTGGAAGAATGATATTCCTCAGGACTGACACAGCTTGCAACTATTAGCTGCTATTCCCATTTCAGACAACCCAGGACTGAAGATCTCTATTAATTCCG